ATATCATACCAGGTGCATTCATGCTGCCTGTTTCACAAGCCTTTGCAGCACTTTTTGCATGACCTTCCTTGCATTTGTTTTGTATCCCACTTGCATGTACCACACAAGCACACCAGGCAGCTTCACATCCTTTTGCCTATTCTTGCTGTGTCATGGCCAGGTAACAAGATGAAAGGAAGGATTTGGGAAAGCAGCCAGAATAAGACTTTTCAGTGGGTTGGGTGATGCACCCAATTCCCATCACAGGAAATTGACAGCTGTGGTGGGAAGGTGTCAACTGTGGAAGGTGCAAGAGGCCTCCTGCAGCAACGAGCAGGGTGCTTGATTCTGCCAAGTCCTCAGACAGTGAGACGATGTAGGGTGGCTGCTGAGCCTGCCATATGGCGGCACAGGGTCTGCTGGCACTGCCTGTGGGATCAGCTTGATGCTAGTATGGACAATGCCATCAGGGTTACTCTTGCCTCCTGCAAACGTCACAATCTGTGCAAAGACAGGCAAATCTCATGGTTCCAGCAATTCAGTGTGCTTTGGAGGGCTTCTGGCCAGCACCAACGCGATGTTTCTGTAATCATCTTAGACCTTCCTGAGATCACATATTATTCATGCTCAGAAGCTGTATAATCCCCTTTCCCCCTAAAATCCAGTCAAATTAAATGCTCATAGGTGCATTCTTCAAGCTAACTGCAGGGAACAATTTTTCAAAGAAAGTTAAGCAGTTTAAACTCTGGCCACATTTTGAGTTCACCTTTAAAGGCTCTTCAGAAGCAAAGCGTTTCCTCGGAGCATAAGGAGGATCAAAAGAAAAAAAAAATCCCTCATTGCTCTATACTTCCTGGCTGCAAGTTCAACTTGTGTATTCATCGTTTGACCAAGCACCTGTAACAGGTAACTTCACTGTCACAGCTTGTGAGAGAACATACATGAGATACTGAGCTTGCAAATAATAAAAAAACCCACAACACAACAACCAACTCAAGGAGTAAAAGACAGTGGAGAGCCCCTAACCTTCAGACACTTCAGTGGCTCCAGGCACTGGAGGAGGGGATGATGACTCTTCTGCAACCAGGTGGTTTTTGGAACAGAATTAAATGCTTCCATTGGGAGTTATCCCAGCTCTTGATGACTTGGCAGAGCAGTGCCATAATCCAATCTGTGATGCTCTAGGAAGATGTTAAAATGGCAATCCTCTTCTCTGTAGGTATTACAGTGAGAAATATCTATCCTTTTGTCTAGTGCCGTCTCATGTGAGACTTATGATGGTTTTTTTGTGTGTTGAGTGTCTTCAACCTTCCTTTGTCAGTTTTCTTAACTTTGAAAAATGTTACTTACTTATGATTTTTTTTTCTGTATTAGGATCATCATATAAATTCTGCATTTCCATTTTGTATTCTCTAATTCTGTAACATTATCTTTCATTTTAATTTGTTATCCTAATGAAACTAGGGTTCCCACCACAAACCATGTTGAAGGGAATGAGAAAAGGGTGGAGAGGGGATGGCTGTCATGCAGATTAAGTAGTAGTAGCTTAAATTGTCTCTTGGTGAAGGATAAACAGAAACGTATGAAAAGATAAAACCTCATGAAGAATGTGCAGTGAGAGGTAAGAACCAAAGGCATCTCCAAAGCAACGTGTGCTGGGTGCACAGCACCTACGATTTAGTTATTAAACAAAGCCAATGCTAAGTGGCAAGTAGGTCTGCAGCAAGATACATTCCCATAACCCTAACCCAGAAAAGGAAGGAAGAAAAAATAGAAAGTTAAGGGAGAAGATTGATCTTTCCACTTCTGTTTTACTTACAACACTGTTAACAAGGCAAGCTGATTATCCATTAAGCTTTTGATCTCATCTCTGCTATCAGGCTTACACTCTTAACACAGAGACCATGACTTCATTGCTACTGTGTAAATCCCATCCAAGTATTTGGACTATTTATCTGATATGCATGTGGCTAGAGGGGAGCTAGGTTATGCAGTGGAGCATGCATCTGGTGAAACTGAACTCATTACTGCCTTAGGGTATCTCTGGGAGGAAGCTAATACTGAAGTGGTGGGAGCAAGCTGCAGAAGTAGATGTCTGCTATGACTCAAGAGGGGTTAATCTTACACAGTCAAAATGCTTCACAAAGATTGGAGTCCTGAGCTAATTTGAGGCTTCCTTTGATAACTAGCCTAATAAAGGGCAGGAAGGGGAATTGAGCCATCTCCAGTAAGTCTTAAAAGACACTGGAGTGTTGTCTTTTGCCTGACATGGGTCTCAATGAGCTGCAGCTGTTGTCATACTCCTGTTAAAAATTTTGTTGTTTATAAAAAAAACCATCCCATATAAGAGTGTTTTTTTTTAAAGGTTATGCAAAATGTGTGTTCTTGGTCGGTAGTTTTCTTATAAGTGAAAAATAAAAGGCTTTTAACTTTCTGGAGGTAACCTCTGGTTGGTTGCACTCCATATTATAAAACTCATAAAAAAGGGTGCTGATTGTAGCATGGCATTACTTTGCAGAAATTATTTGAACAGCTCTCAGCCCTGATCATGAATGCAGTGATACATTTTATTTTGAAGTTTTTCTTCAGAGACAAATACCTGATACTCTTGGTAGGTATTGAGGAGTTGCCTACCACCACCATCACTCAAGTAACTATGACCAATGAATGGGGAGAGCAAGAACATGGGCTGAGGACCTTCCTGGCCATCTGTCACAAAGAAAATGTAAGGAGTTTCTTTGTTAGAGCAGCTAAAACGATGAATCAATCACACATACCACTTACACCATTAACAGATGTTCCCATTAAGTTTCTGTAGCTTAAGTGCATATAAACAGTTCAGAAAAAAAAAACCAAAAAACAAAAAACCTCTTTTGAGTAGCTTTTTATACAGCTAACAGTAATAGAATAATAAGTGGGAAGGGCAGATGTAGAAACAATACACAATGAAAAAGTTGAGGACCCTCCAGAAATGCCATCTGAGTGGCAAAGAGCTCAAACAATGTCAGGCTCTTATGGTAATGAAATCCTGTACCAAGAAAAGGCTAAAAATCCTAAATTGAAGGGAAATGTGGTAACGATGTTTTTCATTTTCTTGCAAGAAATGAAAAACAATACAGAACTATAGCAAGTAAACACTAGACAATATACACAGAGAAAAAATAATTAATGTGAGTCATTTCTGAAGGCAAGGAAGTCTCCGATCTGATACTGCTCTCCAAAGCCCAGCTGTTACTGAAATGCCCAGCTGCCTTCTGCTCATCTCAAGCTTCTGAAGAGTCCTCCTAAAACTTCTGGGGTTCCTCTTTTTGGCTGAAGTAACACTAACTGAATTTCCTCCTGATAACTGAAAAAATGTGTGTGGCCAGCATAGTCAAATGTGGGACTTTTGGAGCACAGGACCAGCTGCAGCCAAAGGAATAACTTGCTTTAGCAGCTCTACAATTCCCCTTGCTTTTCAAGGCTAATTTTCTTGCAAAAATCTAGGCCCTTGACAAGTGGGGAGAGAGACTGACAAATGAGAGGTGCATTCCTTGTGGCACTCATGAAGAGCTATGGCACTTTATTACCAGGACTCTTCTTAACTTCACAACGACAACATCAAGTAAAACTTCACTAATTTGTTTATAATAAAGATTATTTCTCAAGAAATTCCTCACAGGATCAACTGCCATTTAGTTACCTTTCAAAGCTCAACAATAATGAAGTAGACTACAGGAGAACATTGTTTCCAGGGGCACTGTTAATTTTTCTCATTTTTCAATACTCAGATGTTGATATGTGATGAAATGGTAACACAGATGGGCAAAAATTGAAAGCAGCTATTGCCGCTGATAAAGCTGTTCAAAGGAAGAAAATGCTCCTCTTTTCCCTCTGATTTTCATTATTATTATTTTATTTTATATATATATTTTTATGGACGTATTCCCTGCACCACAACTCATCAGCTCTGATCAACTTCAGGACTCACAGTGCTCTCAAGGGCTTGACAGTAGTTTCTGCAGAACATGAAGATGAGAGCTATGAGACCAAGCACCAGTGTGAAGCGCATTCAGCAAAATGGCAAGACAGGCAGTGTTGCCTGCTGAAGAAAATTGGGATGTAATTCTGAACTAAATATTGGTAGCAGCAGAAATGCTGATCTTGATTGAATCTGCAAATGGCTTGGCTAAGGATTGGAGGAGGAAACCTACTTCCTCTTCCTGCCATTAACTCAAGACACTCTGGCTCTACCTACATAAGTTTTATTACCACATATTTCCCAGCGCTGCTACTATCTAGGCAGTCCTACAGACTGCTGCAACAGTCAGGATGCGGTAGCAGGAGCTCCTGTTCAGCCCTCATTCTTTACAGCTGTACTTTAGTCTTGTCTGCCAAAAGGGTAAACCTGTACCTGGAGTGCACCGGGCCCAGCACTGCCACTGGGCATCCCCTCTGTTCTGTGCCATCACCTCCAGTACTGGGTGCGGGTTTGGGTGCCAAAATTTAAGGATATAAAACTATTAGAGAGTGTCCAAGGGAGGGCTACAAAGATGGGGAACGGTGTAGAGGACAGGATGTATGAGAGAGGCTGAGAACCCTCGCTGTGCTCAGTGCAGAGCAGAGGAGCTGAGGGGAGGCCTGATGGCGGCTACAGCTCCTCACAGGGAGCGGAGGGGCAGCGCTGAGCTCTGCTCTGTGTGACAGCGACAGGGCCCGAGGGAACGGCATGGAGCTGCGTCAGGGGAGGGCAGCTGGGGGTCAGGGAAAGGGGCTGCACCACAGGGCTGTGGGCGGGGAACGGGATGCACGGGGCTGTGGGCACGGCCACCAGGGCTGGAGTTCAGAGAGCATCTGGGCAGTGCTCTCAAATATGGAGCTTGATTTTGGGTGGTCCTGTGTGGAACCAGGAGATGGCCTCAATGATCCCTGTGGGTCTCTTCCAACTTGGGCTGCTCAGTGATTCTGCTCTGAGGGAATGACAAGTGTGAGAGATCTGCTTTGCCCCGTTTCCCAAATGGAATCAAAATGAGTGCATAGAGTTTTCTCATCCATTCTTTTATTCACAAGACATAGATTCACTTGGAAGAGAGCAAGCAAAAACAACAGAACTACATGTAGGCAAAAACACTCCTTAGAGGAATTTGCTCTCGCTCATTTTTTTTAATTGTTTCCCAGTAAAGGCTCCCTCTGGGTCTCTGTCAGACTACAAACTCCATTTTGAACGTGGATCTTATTTGCTCTTTTTCCTCTGCTCTGACATCATGCTGATGCCGTCACAGGGAGCTGCATGGGAGCTGTGCTGGCCACTGCTGGTAGTCCAGTTTGTTCCCTGTGCTCAGTCCCAAGAAGATGCACATGAGCTTCAAGAATGCAGATTCCTGCTGCTACTCTTGGAGGTGAAGCAGTGCATGTAGTGAAGGCTCTGGTTTGGCTGGGACTTGCCCACAAGTTTCTGGGGGGTGCTAAGTCCCCTTGGAGCACAGGTACTCCAGCTGGTCACTGGTGCAAACACACCTTTTCTCTTTCTTGCTTACTGATGATGCATCACCAAAGTTAAAAAGCAAACTAGAAAGCTAGGCATCCTCAGCTTGACATTTCTGCAAAACAGTTTTGCAGCTTGATATCTATAAACTTTGCCTTACAAAGTTCAGTGGTATTTTTGGTTTTGGTTATTTGTATGATGCATATTTTATCTGTATTCAATATCCCATAGACAAATTCTGAATTCAGTTTAGTTCACTTTTTTTTTTTTTTTTTTTCCCTTGATTGATCAGGACCTCTAAGTAATCTGTAGAAATTTTTTGTTCTGTTTGTTCCTGTCTTCTTCCTAAATGTGTGTGATGAGTGGGTGATTTGTTTGTGCTGTCATTACGAAAACCATATGTTAATGTGGTCTTACGGAGGAGTGTTTTTATTATTTTAAGAGTTCAACTAAGGATGTTTCCAAAGGAGACATAATTGCTCTTCTAAGTACAAAGGCTTAACAATGACTAGCTTACAAATAATGCCAAAAATCTGTTCAGCTCAAGTCTATAAAATCTGTTTCTCAGAAATGTCTTCTTTCCATAGTCTGAACTGCTTAACACACTAAGAAATTATGACTATTCAGGTTCTCTATGGATCTTTACTGCAACTGCCTGGGACTAGAGAAAGTATCTGCTTTCTCATGTGTGTATCAATGTATGCAAAAACCTTAGGGTTGCCTCTCTGTGCAAAAGGCACAGTGTCAAAGCATAGCTTTAGACTGATCCTGCAAGGATGTTGGTGAGCTTCCTGGAGGAACAGCCTTAGAAGAGTGCCACTACCAGTCCAGTGTGCTGCATTAACCAGGTCAGTGCTGTGTTCTGTGCAGGATATTTGTGGCATTCATCAGGAAAGGAACTGACAGCATTTGAAGCAGTCTGGGGTCTTTACTGGTAGACCACATGGCTCCTCCTCTTCATTATGGACACAAAGTTCAATCTACCAGCCCACTGACACGTGCTTGACAACACTGAGTGAAGAGCATTGGGCTTCTAGTGTTTCTTCTGTGTTGTGATGAGCTGAAATCCCATGCAGAATAGCATTGGAGTACTCTGGGAGCTCTAGTTCTCCTTTCTGTGGCAGTGGTGAAACCTGGAGGGAGACAGGGGGACTGGCTGCTGTGCTGTTGCTGGCTGGTCAGTATTCATGAAGACACCTGCCTCAAGAGGCTGTTTGGTGATGCAGGTGAGTATGAGACAGATGCTGTTAACTCTTGACACAGATTTATGAGATTTATGAACAATTTATGAGAGATCCATTGACGTTTGGGAATGTAATGTAAAGAAAGTATCATGACTGTATAGGTGGTAGAACTGGTCCCTATGTTTGGCTGATCTCAGAGACTGAATGTTAGGCAGGCAGAAGAATCACTGAAAGTGCCTTGGTGTTCAATAAAGCTGCTGAAAAGGGAAGTATGTGGTAGAGTCTGCAATGCATTATATATATAAAATTTTAGATAGGAACTATTATTCTGTGCTGCAGAGTGGAAGAAAATGGAAAGAGGAAAATAGCTGTGCACCTGGCCAAGACCTTGAAAAGGACAGACTTTTCAGAACAATTTTCAGAAAAACAATTCCAAACCTCCCTGTAGCAAAGCCTCCTACACAGCCTTTGCGAAGAACCTTTCAGAGAAAAACTTCAAAGAAGTGCAATAACATGGCAACATTTTGTGAGAGCAGTGTTGCAAATAAATGCTACGCATTTCTAAGTGCAAGTCCGCCAAAATAAGTTGAAACTGCTTTCTTGTGCATTGCGATGAGAAATGAAGTGAGAAAAAAAGAAATGTTAATTCTTCATTGAGAAACATGTCTTACAAGTGTCATACTAGCACATTTTAAAAGCATATGTATATCTACAATTTGTATTTGCAGAAGCAGTGCGTATATTACATAAAAAGTTATTAGCTCATAAATATTACCTCAAAAAATACAAACAAATTTCTATCTTTTGCAGGTGTGTGCATACGCAGATAGTACAAATTCTGTATTATTAGATTATTGGTGAAATAAACAGCTTATTTTTCGTCATTATCCAGAAAGATTATAGAGGAGGTCAGTCAGATGGGAAAAGCCCCAGCTGATTATTTGGGTTCAGGTCTTCTTTTGCCTCAGAATTTGTATATCATCTTAGAGTCTGAGGGTCTCTGTGCTCCATCTGCAACACATCTCAGAAAGAGTTGGTGAGATCTGTATCCAGCTGGTTCCCCAGTTTGTGTTGGTGCACAATCAGCAGCACACCAAGAGTATTAGAGTTAAAAACTACCCTGCCCCAAAAAGAGGTGTTTGCTGGAAGATGCACTAAGTGGAAACATGCAGGTATTCATGTGCATAGGTTACTAGTGTTCCCTGGCAGCTGCAGCTGTGTGATTACAGTTGGATCCCAGTCTTGCTGCCATCCAGAGGAATTTTGACATGGGCCACAGAGATCAGATCTATTTGTCTTACTGCTTTTCATGCAAGCTCCCTGGTATTTCCCAGTCAAAATTTTCTTCCTACAAGTGAGGAGTGTTTCTTCTCTTTTTCTTTCACAGGGCCAATTTTATGCCCCTTCATTGCTTGACTTGGTATGCTGCACTTACCTGGTCAACTTCAGCAGCCCACAGTGACTCTAATGCTGTCCATCTTTGTTAATCATCCCTTTGTTAGCTGTGCCACAGCAAAAACAGATAAACAAACAAAAAGCAAAGTTATATAGGATATTTTCTTCTGAATATTCTCAATGTTTTCTTTTTGGGTTGAACTAGCAATAGCAGCCAGTTAAAGACATGGCTCATGGCTGAATGTTGTGCCATGTACCTGAAAGCACAGGATCACTCCTGTAAAAAAAGGAATGGTGTTTCCTGTAGACTACGTTTCTAGCATGATCAGTGGGAAAGGAGCCATTGTATGTAGATTGCTCCAAAAGTAATACCTCCTGTTTATTTCCATGGAAACAAAGAGCATAATAACACCATTTGATAGAGCAAAACTCAGATACAAAACACTGTTTGTCAACACAGTCACCACCATAGCTGTGCATTTCTGCCAGTGATGAACGAGAGCTGCGTGCTGTGCTTGTAACAGTCCGCACTGGTGTCCCATTGTTGCTGTCAACACAGCTGAAAGGTACAACTCAGCACCTCAGTGTGCTTACATCCACTGCCTGGTCTCCAGAAATATTCAGTAAATATCCTTGAATGTCAGTGGGTGCCATTCCACGTGGAGGAATTCAATGACACACCTTTGCTTCATACACACTTCCATGACAGTCACCACTGTGTCAGAGTGCCCCTCTTCTGCCATCTGTCACACAGCACCAAAATGGAACAGCGTATTAATAGGAAGGTTCAACGTCTACAGCCATAGCACCAACATCTGCCTCTGGCGTTGTGGGCCAACATACAAAATAGGAGGCATTACTTTCAGAGCAGTCCTCATAACAATCTTAGCATAAAGCTCTCCTGTGTCTGCTACGTGACACTACATGCCATTGTTGATGGAAACCAGCATGATGGACTGGATGCTGGCCTCCCCAAAGCTGAATTGCAGCTAAACCCTAGGGAAATTCTCTGGTTTAGCTCCCAGACAGAAACCCACCCACTAGTTTTCTTTGGAAAGAACAAGAATTCAAATATTGGTTTGGCATGAAAATTGTTCTGACTACCCTAAAGGCAAAGGGAAGGTGATTCTGCAAAGCCACAAGAAGAAAGTATTTTAATTCAGAGATCATTTCCCTGATTTAAAATGTTATTTTTTATCTAACATTTTCCTTATTCTAAAACCACATTGAGTTTCAGTTATACTTCCTTTGAAACCAGAAAGCAATTGTACTGAAATGCAATAAAGGGAACTAAAAATACACTCCAATATTTTTTTCCCTTTTGTGCCTTTCTCTGCTTCCCCAAATGTCTGAGGAGTAAAACCGGATGCAATAATTTGGGGGGAGAAGCAAATGGTAGAAGTCACTGTCAAAGAATCAGTGTGTTTGACAGATCATGGGCATTTCTGAAGAACTTCTTAGCCAGGGCTGCATGCAGATGTGTTGTGGTTCTGATGAAATAGTTGGTGGGTGATTCTGTATGTCACTGAGCTAACCAAACAAGGAACACATAAAGCCCTCTAAATGTGCTTAGTCTATGCATATGCCTTTCACATAGCAGAATGAAAAACCCTGAAATGAACAGGATAAAAAAAAAGGGGAAAGAAAATATACGCCTATGGTCAGCGCTACAGAGACTTTGTTGGTGCTCATTTGGCTAAGGCATGACTGGAAACTGTTTTGAAAGATGAAATAATTATGGCTTCACAATCCATTTGTCAAGAAGGATAACTGAGATAATCCATATCTGAGATGTTGCCTTCATGTCACTGGCAATAAGATAATATCCATCTGGCCCTACAGGGTTTGTTTCAAGGGAGAGAAAAACAAGTTTCTCTTTAGCTCAGGAACAGCAGAAATGCTTTAATATATCCAGAAGTATGCATACAAGACTTTCAAGATGTGCTAAGATTCTGGTACTAAACATACTGACAGCTTGCAATGTCCCGTTCATATGTGGAAAGGAGGCAGGAAGTGCCACCAAAACATCATGCAAGTGTTGGCTCAGCCTTTGCAAAGTTGTGTGTGGCTGCAGACTGTGCAGAACAAAGATATGAACTTGCTATTAGCAGGACCCATTCATTGCTCTGTAATGGATTTGTATTAGTTTATAATGAAATGTGAGGAATTAATCACAGCTCAATTACATTTATAAGTGCAGTGCTGTATTTTAACAAGCATGCACACGTTTGCCTGTTTTTAATTACTCAGTGACTGTGAATTTAGGGTCCTGTAGTTGGAGAATCCAGCTTTGTCCGTCCATCAGCAAGGCAGCTGCCTCGCTACACAAAGGCAGCTGAGACAATGAATGAAAGAGTTGGATGATCTTCATGGGTCCATTCCAACTTGGGATATTCTGTGATTCTATGAAGTAGAACATAGTCATGCTTCTCAGCTAGCAAGCAGAATATTGGCAAAACCAAGCAGCCCTCCTTCTTTTTTGCTCCCAGATCTCTCTTCTCTCTCTTTCTTAACGACCGTGGTCCTCCTTTCACACTTTTTGCAGTGAGATTGGTGATGCTGGGCTTCATCCTTACCAGCTAGGGAGTGCTGCTTTGAGTTCAGACACTTCTCTGTTTTCTCAGCTGTGCTTCAGATGACTCAGATTTATCTCAGAGTTCTCTTTTTTCTTTTTATCTAGATCTGTAGTACTGGATATCCCAGTTTGCTTTTGGCCTCGCCTACCAAGAATGTCAAATAAGGATAAAATCAAACTGTAGGTAGTCAAAACATAATGATGTTTCTATAGTAAAATATGATTCGTATTAAAATCAACTCATTCATTAGCGCTCACATTGTGAACTTATTAAATGCTCTTAGTTAACATAAATCTTTTAGGAGTTCCTAGCTTAATGTCTAGCGCTGCAAACAGCTGCTTTCTGTTTACAAAAAAAATGAGGTATGAATTTTTATTTCTTTCCAACACAGCCCATAAAAAATAGTCTTTTGGCACTGTAGATACGCACCACCAATGCATTCTGCTCAGAATAACTGTGTTTGCTGAAGGGCAGCCTTGCACAAACACTGTTTTAACCTATAGTATCATGCTTTTTCAGTTCTGCATATTAATTCATGCTGACTTCAAAAGAAGCTGAATAGCATTTTAAAAATCTCTTCCAGTTCTTACTCATACTGAGATTTCTGAGCAGTGCTGAGGCCCGTATGTAGTGCTGGACTGTGATGAAAGTTGCTCAAGTAAAAACAATATTGAAATAAGGAATGAAAGCATGCCACTGAATTTCAGGGAGAAGCGAAGGGTCATCATTTCACACAGGGGATTACATGGGCGTAGGTAGGACACAGCAGTGGTTTCTAAGCAGAGGTCTGCTCAAAGCCACTGCTACATTTAGTCACAGTTTGAACAGATTGTAGATTGTCAGCCATGTCAGCCAAGGCCTGTTTGTGTCTGTCTGTCTGTGCAGAAATGTCATGGTGTGAATATCTGATCTCAGAAGCTACTGCCAGGGGCCTGAGGCAGCCTGTAGGTCCCCTGCTCCTCCTTTGGCCATCTCCAGAGCACTCAGGGTATGGCACCTCATCCACACACAGGCACATAACTGAGGTCACAGAATCACCAAGGCCGGAAAGGATCTCTAAGACAATCTAGTCCAACTGTCAGCCCTCCTCCACCAAGCCCACTGCCCACGTCCCTCAGTGCCACATCCCCTATACTCAGCACTAGTGAGGCTGCACCTCGAGTACTGTGTCCAGTTTTGGGCCCCTCACTGCAAGAAAGATATTGAGGCCCTGGAACGTGTTCAAAGGAGGGCAACAAAGCTGGTGAGGGGTCTGGAACACAGGCCATATGAGGAGAGGCTGAAGGAGCTGGGAATGTTCAGCCTGGAGAAGAGGAGGCTCAGGGGAGACCTCATTGCTCTCTATAACTTCCTGAAGGGAGGTTGTAGTGAGCTGGGGGTCGGCCTCTTCTCTCGTGTCATTAGTGATAGGACCAGAGGGAATGGTTTCAAGCTACGGCAGGGGAGATTCAGGCTGGACATCAGGAAGTATTGCTTTTCAGAAAGGGTGGTCAGGCACTGGAATGGACTGCCCAGGGAGGTGGTGGAGTCACCGAGCCTGGGGGTGTTCAAGGAAAGGCTGGATGTTGTGTTGAGGGACATGGTTTAGTGGGAGCTATTGGGAATAGGTGAACGGTTGGACTGGATGATCTTGAAGGTCTTTTCCAACCTTGGTGATTCTATGATTCACACGGCTCTTGAACACCTCCAGGGACGGTGACTCCACCACTTCCCTGAGCAGCCCGTGCCACTGCTTCACCAGTCTTTCTGAGAAGAAATAGTTCCTTGTGTATGGTCCATTTGTCAAAAACAAATTATTGCAGCTGTTCAGATTTCTCATAGCCTTCCTCTCCTTTACCCACAGGTCCCAGACCTGCTTTTTGAGGGGCTAATATGATCATCGAGCTAGCTGCCCTCCTTTCAGTTCCTTGCAACCTCCTCCCTTCGGGTTCAGCACTGCTCACGCTGGTAGCCCAGGCTCCATTGGCATGCAGCCATGCCTCCCTTTCTGTTACTGGTTCCAAACATACACAGCAATGCAGGAAGGCTTTGAAAACTCATATTGGTGATCCTTACAGGAGGATATTTTCCGTATGCCCTGCAAACAGCTCCTGTCCGAGGACTGCCAGTGCAGGTGTGGTGCCATGGTCTCTGAGCAGGCCCTGCAGAGAGCAGGCTGGGAAATAAAACATGAGGCCTGCAGCTGGCAGCTGCAGTGGGGCCAAAGCACCTTCTGGCCCAGCTTCAAGCTGATGCCGAGAACCAGTCGAGCATAGAGAAGGATGACAAGTTCTTTAAAAGAGTAGTAAAATTAAAAAAGCCAAATTACTTCTGCTCTGAAGGTGAAAAAAATTCAAATAGGCAGCAAAGTGTGGCAGAAGAGCAAGAAAGGGAATGCAACAGGGAGCACGATGTAATCCAGGGAGGCAAGCACATTCGGAGGATCCTGCCAGGCTCCCGTGAAAAGTGTATGCTGAAAAGCAGCCAGTCCATTACGCGTGCTGGCACAAAATACGTCAAGAGAAAGGCAAAAAGCTGTAAACACCTGCACT